AAAAAGCAGCCAATCAAATTTCAATGGAACGATCTAGAATCGATTTCCATTTTTGGTAATATGCCTGACTGAAATAAAGGTTTAATTTACTAATCCATTAGAATATATAACATACTTAATAATTATTTCAAATTGTTGAACAGAAATATGGTTTAAATTAATTGTTTTAATGGTATTTTTGCCTTTTTTAATATTTGCTAATTCATTACGGAAATATAAAGATCTGTATATATCTTAAAATATTGGAGTATGCTTGGAATATCTCATTGTTTGGTGATTCTCCAACATTAATAATTATGAAAAATCTTCTTTAGGCCATTTTTAGTTGATTTTTAGGTTAACGTCGATAGTTAGGCTCATGTATGGGTGGAGGGGGATTTAAACAAATACATACAGGGTGTCCCAGAAGTTCCTATACACGGTCCCTATTTTTTTTGTGATCTTAGATATAGAAATCACGATAATTACTTATGTAAATATGTAAATAATCATAATAAACTCTATATAATATATAGAGATCATTATGATTATTTACATATTTACGTAAATAACTATCGCGATTCTATTGATCTCTATGTATAAGGTCACATAAAAAATGGGGACCGTGTATAGGAACTTTTGGGACACCTGGTATAGTCCCAAGAATTTTTGATCAAATCTCGTTGGTCAACATTAATCACATGATTAATGAAGTTTATGCTGCGTTGTGATTGGCTTGTTTAATTTTCGGGGGGAGGCAGCTAAGCGAGGGGGGGATGACGTTAACCTAAAAATCAACTAAAAACGGCCTTATCATCAAGAAGTTCAAGGCAATCCTTTGAAAGCTTTTCGAAAAACTTATTTTGGAATTATTTTGTCTACTGGTCTACTGTAACCATAGGAAAACTTTCGAATGATTGGCTGTTTAAGTCTATTTAATTTTACATTATTTATACAGTTTAAAGTGCTTTTTAAAAAAATCAAACTACGAAGAATAAACTAAAAAGAAGTATATTGAAAGTTTTATTAGGGTTGTAGGACTCCATCATTAAAAATAATCAAAATCATTTTTGCTTTTAGAGAATTTAACATAATAGCGACTTCTTAAAGATAGATAGAATTAGGTTATTACCATGTTAACTTCTCTAAAACAAAAAGGGATTTTGATTATTTTTAATAGTGCAGTCCTACAACCCTATTAAAACTTTCAATATACTTATTTTTGTTTATTCTTCGTAGTTTGATTTTTTTTAAAAAGTACTTTAAACTGTATAAATAATGTAAAATTAAATAGACTTAAACAGCCAATCGTACGAAAGTCTTCCTATGGCTACTGTAGCTGGTAATATCAGATATATTACACTATTTATATACGTATGTACGTACTTACATATCAGATATAATGTATGTCTCTGGTTGGTTAAGGTATTCAGTAAAGTAGTGCAGTGCGGCAGTACAGACATACGAAAATTAGACGTACTACGTAAATTTCGATTGTACGTACGTACGTACGTACATAAACCCAGACACCCTAAATGTAAACCATATATTCCGTTATGGTAATGCCGTATAACCATCTCGAATGAATAATGAATCAAAAAATAGGAGACGATTGTAGCATAAACAACTCTAACGTTTGGGCGTTCCGAAATTGCTTATAGGTAATATGAAACTCTTAGAAGACAGTCATAGACGCTACGAAGATGAAGCGGATCAAATTAATAGACGGAGAAACAGAGAAAATGAAGTATTAAAGGCAATCGTTCATATTGAAGAATCAATGAACGTTGATCTTTGCTTCGTTCTGGACTGCACAATCTCTATGTCTAATCATATCAAAGCAGCGAAAGAGCATATATTAAAAGTTGCTAGTTACGTAAACAGCAATAATTCAAATATCGAATTCTGGGTTGGTTTCTGTGGTTATCGTGATCACTCTGATGGTAATGATCGCTTACAAAATTTTGATTTTACTAACTCTCTCGAGAAATTTCAAACGTATTTATCCAATAAAGTGGAGGCTAAAGGTGATGATCTACCAGAAGATGTCTTAGGTGGTCTTAATGCTGCGATAACTCAGATGATCGATGTCCATAATGAGTTCTTGTTAACAGATCCAGCCATACATTGTATTGATTTATTAAGATTTGGAACAACAAACTTAGGAAAGAGTGGAATTCAAAAATGTTTTTTGGCAAAGCATAAATGCAATGATATTTGTAAGAAGTTAAAATTAAGCAATGATATTTGGGAAGGATATTGTCATGAAAATGGAATAGGAGTTGAAAAAGATATAAAGAAGGCATTTGAATATTATCAAAAATCTGCAGATATTGGACATATAGATGGAATATATAATGTTGGACGTTGTTACCAAAACGGAATTGGAACCGAAAAGAATGAACATAAAGCATTCAAGTATTATCAGCAATCAGCAGATATGGGACATGCTGATGGAATAAATCAAGTAGGATACTGTTATATAAAAGGAATTGGAGTTAAAAAAGATGAACACGAGGCATTCATTTATTATCAAAAATATGACGATAACGGAAATGCAATTGGAACATATAATCTTGGGAGTTGAAAAAGATATAAATGAGGCATTCAAATATTATCAAAAATCAACAGACATGGAACAAGCTGATGGAACATACAATCTTGGACGTTGTTATGAAAATGGAATAGGAGCTGAAAAAGATATAAAAAAGGCATTCCAATATTATCAAAAGTCTGCAGATATGAGACATACTGATGGAATATATAATGTTGGACGTTGTTATCAATACGGAATAGGAGTTAAGAAAGATATTAAGGAGGCGCTTGAATATTATCAAAAATCTGCATATATGGGACATATTGATGGAACATATAATGTTGGACATTTCTATGAAAATGGAATAAGAGTTAAAAAAGATATAAGGAAGGCATTCAAATTTTATCAAAAATCTGCAGATATCGGTCATATAGATGGAATATATAATGTTGGACGTTGTTACCAGAACGGAATTGGAACTGAAATGAATGAACATGAGGCATTCAAATATTATCAAAAATCCGCAGATATGGGGCATGCTGATGGAATAAATCAAGTAGGATACTGTTATATAAAAGGAATTGGAGTTAAAAAAGATGAACACGAGGCATTCATTTATTATCAAAAATATGACGATAACGGAAATGCAATTGGAACATATAATCTTGGACGTTGTTATGAAAATGAAATAGGAGTTAAAAAAGATATAAATGAGGCATTCAAATATTATCAAAAATCCGCAGATATCGGTCATATAGATGGAGTATATAATGTTGGACGTTGCTATGAAAATGGAATAGGAGTTGAAAAAGATATAAATGAGGCATTCAAATATTATCAAAAATCCGCGAATATGGGACATGCTGATGGAATATATAATGCTGGACGTTGTTACCAGAATGGAATTGGAGTTAAAAAAGATATAAATGAGGCATTCAAATATTATCAAAAATCCGCAGATATGGGACATACTGATGGAATATATAATGCTGGACGTTATGAAAATGGAATAGGAGATAAAAAAGATATAAGTATAGCATTCAAATTTTATCAACAATCTGCAGATATCGGTCATATAGATGGAATATATAATGTTGGACGTTGTTATCAGAACGGAATTGGAACTGAAAATAATGAACATGAGGCATTCAAATATTATCAAAAATCCGCAGATATGGGACATGTTGATGGAATATATAATGTTGTATGTTGTTATCAATACGGAATAGGAGTTGAAAAAGATATAAAGAAGGCATCCGAATATTGTCAAAAATTAGCAAACGTGGAACAAGCAGATAAAACATATAATCTTGGACGTTGTTATGAAAATGGAATAGGAGTTGAAAAAGATATAAATGAGGCATTCAAATATTATCAAAAATCCGCAGATATGGGACATGCTGATGGAATATATAATGCTGGACGTTGTTACCAGAATGGAGTTGGAGTTAAAAAAGATATAAACGAGGCATTAATGATGCCTGACGAAAGTATTTTTGCGATGACGAAAGTATTTCGGCATATTTCGTCTGACGAAACCCTTGGCG